TGTCGTAATTCTTTCACCTTCGTGATTCTTCCTTCTTTATTTGTGGGCTAGTTATACAACACACCAAATAGGATAATTAGTTTTAACTGAAATACGATTGAAAATGAGTATCGTTGATTTGGTCTGAAACAAAATTTGCGTATTTTTTCAGAGAGTTCAAACAGGAAAGCTTGAGTTTGCTCAACCACTGTTATCAACAAGATGATACCGAAACACTGCGATTGCTGACAGCCGAGTTACCCAACTGGGGACAGCACACCTGTCTTTCATTAGCCGTTATTGCGAATAATAGGAGATTCCTTGCGCATCCGTGGTAATTTGTAATTCATTTATGCAGAACCTCATTTGGGTATTTGGTTATGGCCTGGCAATTGCCGGACATGAGCATTATCAAAGTGCCCAAAAAAGTTTCGAGCAAATTGTCAAGAAAATTCTTTTTCTCGGCGTTTGCTACTAAGATCCATTGTCCATGTGGTTTTAGATTTTGGCTATTTTTGATGCTAATAAATAACTTTTATCGCATACAAGCGTATTTATTAGGAAAAAGACCCGCACTAGAAATTATACAAGCAATTCGGAAAGGGCAACGTCAAATTTTACAGCTAAGGGACACAGTGCAGCTTCTTTCAAGTGGATACATTTATATGTGGCGTAACATACAGTCCTCTTGAGTATTTGCAGGTTCTAGTTTGAAAATTTCAGTTACATGCTTCATGATATGCTGGATTTTGAATTAGGATGATCGTGTAATTCTTATCCGTACAGTATAGAAAGCATCCAGAAACTCTGGAAATTTTGTCTGTTGTAAGCCTGCAAGTATTTTGATTTCATACTGTGAGCTGCTTCCAAAAATATTTAAACCAGAACGATCATAGGAACTGGACTCCAGTAACAGCATAAGCAGTCACTAAAACTTTATGCCCTGTAGCTCAAAGTTTGCGTCTTGGCTTTTGCCCCAGATTGAAAATTTGAAAATGTTGTAATATGAGACTGAAATAATGTTACGTAAATTCCGGATCACTTGAATTTTTTTTAATTTTGTCATATCGATTTTAATGGCCTCGATAATTTCAGCTGTCTGTCTTTTGATCTGAGGTTGGTTCTCAGATTCGTAATTTAAATAATAACAAAAGTTCCAGAAGATACGGGTTTTTTTCAAATTTTGATTGAATTGATTTTGATGACCTTGATAATTTCAGCTGTCAGATTCTGCTCGCCGATTTGTGGCACGGTGGTCTTGGCATGAAAAGGTACTGATTATTATTTGATCAATTACTTCTTCCAGCTATTCAAACTCAAAAGTCATTTTAGCACTCGCTTTTCCACCCAGCATTCTGTTGCTGGATGTGAAAGCGCGTATATCGAAGCGACGAATGGATTCGTTGCAGGATCATCAATATTTGATCAAAGGCGACGAATCAGAAAATGTTCGTTTCCAGGATCTTTTTCTTTTCTGGTTTTTTTTTAACGCATAACTAATGCACAGCAAACAGTATGCTGCTTTGTGCAGGAACGAGAAAATGGCGATCAAAGTCCGAGCAGTGGCACTTCATCGTTAC